TGTTTGATTCTCATAGAAAGAATTTAAAAATATTTATATATTATCATAAATAAAATTTTCGATTAAAAGTATTGAGATTGAAAAAGTATTGTGACAAAATTAATATCATGGCAACAATAATTATGTAATTAAAAATAATATATAAAATTAATTGTATATGTTAAATACAATTTTTGAACAAATATTTATATTAATAAGATATAAGAATTAGCACTCACCGCTTATAGGAGTGCTAGGTAATTCGCTTTCAGTGAGGCTGCTTGTCATTAAATCAAGTTGAGCCGAGATATCTAATATCTCGTCCAAATTTTTTACCGATACCTCTTCAACATCTTCAGGTATGTCTTCGTTATCAAAATCATCTAATGGCGCAATGTCACTGTTATTATTAACCGACATTAGACTAGCCATACTTTGCATATCCTCGTCCCTATATGGCAGAGTAGAAATATTTAAGTTTTCATCAATGACTCCAAGTAAAATGTATTTTAAATATTTAACAAATATAAACGGAATAACAAATTTTCAAGTCAAGCAGACTGAAAAATTTAGCATACAAATTCTAATACAGATGATTTGATTATCCTGTTTGAAAAACATTTAATGAGGAATAATAGATTTCTAATTGTTCAAAAATTGACTAGTGATGTTAGTAAACTTGATCTGTACGCTTACGTCGCTTTGCCCTCTCGCAGGAATACACATGACAAAGTACATTCGAGCGTAGCACTAACAATCTTCTTAGAAGTTGGTTTTAAGTCTAATTTGAGTTGTTGCTGGCTAGATTCAAGGGTTGCATATTTTTTCATATTTATATTGGTTGCAGCGACATGACGCCTCTTTCCCGTCGATGATACCTGCTCGAGAACGGGACAATATACATATACCACAGTGCTGCATTCTTTCGCAGATGTATCAGTATACTGTACTGCTTACATCTTCGATGACAAATGTCCAATCTTTATCTTCTAGTTCGTGTGTTCGTGGATCTTTGAATAGCGTCACGGAAACTGTGTGATTGTCAGGTACTGCCCAGCTAATAACACCCTTTAGTGGATCGCTCAAACTTGGCTCCCAGTCTAAGGGTTCCGAACTAACTCTTCTGCTACGTCTTGTCCAGACAATGCTCAGTTTGTTTGGTTTCCTATCAGAATGTTATATGTCGCTACATTTTCTCAAGAGTATGTTAATGTAATATTCACCTTTAGCAGGTTTATAATGTAACATTTTCTTTTATATAGTTTTATAAAATAGACTGTGATTATTTTTCAAATTATTTCATATATCATTTTTTCAAAATGTGCATAGTCTTATAAATAAATTTAAAAATGCCATTCAAATTGAATTATTCTTAAACACAAACATAGCTTGTGGAATTTGATATAATTATTATATCGAGTTATATCTTTATATAATTTTTTAAAAAATATGATAATTTACGTTTTACATAATTACATAAATATCATCTGTTTTCTTTTACTTTAAAAGCACTTGTAATATTCCAACAGGATTGCTAATACGCAATAAACAAATACATTCTATCGAGAAACATTTTCTTAAGATATATATAGATATATATAACTATAGAGTATGTTAATGTAATATTCATTTTTAGCAGGTTAATAATATAACATTTTCTTTTGTACGATTTTATAAAATAGACTGCTATTATTTTTCAAATTATTTCGTATATCATTTTTCCAAAATATGCATAATCTTATGAATTAATTTAAAAATGCCACTCAAATTGAATTATTCTTAAACACAACAGCAGCTTGTGGAACTCGATATAATTATATCGAGTTATATCTTTATATAATTTTTTTTTCAAATATGATAATTTACTTTTCACATAATTACATAAATATCACCTGTTTTCTTTTACTTTAAAAGCACTTGTAATGTTCCAACTGATTGTAAAGATCGCTAATATGCAATAAAGTACATCTTATCGAGAAACATTAAAAGAATAGAATTCCCAGTATTTGTCTTTATACAAGTATAATTAGGAGTAGTTGTTTGTGAAAAGAAGCCAAAGTATCGTAGATAAAAATAGAATAAAAGAATTTTTCTTAAAAGCGCTTGTATAAACAAAAAAGCTATTAGCATAGCTTATTTATACAGTATAAAGGTGAGCGAAACGAAGTTTTCGCTTAAGAATAAATAATTATATAGTCACTCACCATTTCGTCGTCGTCTCCAACGTGACCTCATGATAAGAGACGGTGAACTGAAACTTGGCGGCTCTCTTATTCACTCGTTGCAAACGTTTCCAGACGGAACTCATGGTTGTCCGTTTCGTTCCTTGTCTGTATTGTCACTTTGGTTGATCGCTCGGAAAGTTTCACTGCCTACACGAGA